ACCTTTACGCCTTCACGCGCTGCTGCCAAATATGCTTCATTATTGCGCACCCAAGCCCGCCACTCTCACGGATTGTTGTGGAACACCGAAGGAGAATACCGTCACAACGAAGTAACTTACGCCGTGGAGGATATGTTCAAAAAGATTGGCCGACCGAATCAAATCCGCTTCTTCGCCAAGGGACTGGAAAAGTCTCACCTCCTGGAGCAGTATCTGCCGGAAGTTGCCAACTTGGAAAACTTTGGATGCCCGCCATACCTGACCAACTTACCCGTGTAAACTCTGCCCAAAGCTATGCGTTTTACTCTTTGGTACTACTGCGATGCCGAAAATCACCAATGTCGCTGCCGTTGCGGATTTAAACACTACCTTGGACCTGGAGAAAATTGAAAGATGTCTACCGATGGCTCAATATATACCCCATCGATTTTCTGAATTACTGCTGCGCATCTTGCAACCATACAAAGCGCACTGTCAGCTGCACCGCAATGGAAAAATCACCGTCAACGGAGCCACTTTCGAAGAAGCAGCCCGCGAACTGCTGCTGCATTTTACTAACATGTTAACCGCTATTGGATACCAATGTACCATTTCTAAATTTCGTATTGTCAATATTGTGGCTAATCATACTTTTCCTCAACGTGTGCATATTGAAAAATTCAGCAATTTTTTCACTTGGAACATACCCCTGAATTGTTTAGTGGTCTAGCCATCAAATGTAGTGTTGGCCGTGCTCTTTTGTTTTCTTCTGGTAAATGTAATTTTTCTAGACTGAAATCCGCTGTGGAACGGGTTAAGTGGTTGACTGACTTAACACAATTGCTCAGGTGGCTCCGCTTGGGATGACACTGTGTCTTTAATTCTGCAAAACGATCACTTATTACGGCATGTTTTTTATGACGTGCGCATCTCACCATCAGCTAAGATATCATCTCAGCTAGCTGTAGCCATTTTTGAAAGGTTGTGAGCGGACGGAGTGGCCATCTTATGGCGCGGTGATTTCGGAAACCTCAATCTGATGGTCCATTGGCCCAAAACAATTATCCTATAAATTTTGCATTCATTTCCGGTTGCTCGGCTTATGCAAAAGAATTACAAGGATCATCCTTGTAATTCTTTTGCATAAGGATCATTGAAGGATGCCACTTTAGTTCGTTTTTAAACTTCAGCCGATGTTAATAAATGAACAAATGTTAGGTAACGCTGTACTATTTGCACAGATGACACAGACCATAACAGCAAAACCTTGATGTCACGGTCCGGTCCGCTCAACTTGCTGTAACCCCGTGTCCTGTATCCGTTCTCATTAAATATGCCGTAAATTACGTTGTAACGTTTTACCGCTCGGAATGAACCAAAGTGTCACGACGTGAGCGCTGTGCTCTTTAATAATTATCGACTGAATAACTAGAAACGCAAACACAAGCAAGCAAGCTGGCACTGGCGAGGTTACCATGCAAACCTCATGATACCTGCCTTTGGCGCAGTACTCGTTCGCTTCAGCGCAGTTTTTAAATGAATTACTTGCTTTTATGCAACACCAACTCAAGCCCTAATTGCATAATCCTCACAAGTAAGATAAATGCCCTGCTTCCCAGCCCAAAAGCCATAACAACGGTAATCCGTTTCAACCCGACGTAGTTTAGGCTGATCAGCCTAAACTACGTCCTTTATGATGCCCTGTTTTTTCAACTGGCAGGAACCTTTTCCTTGCGTTTTCAACTGGCTTTTCCAACTGCTTTTGTGAATGGGACTACTTCTTTCCAAAAAAAAACACTGGAAAAGTGTCGGCATTTTGTTGGTTATTCAGGACGTGATACAAAAACACAATGTCCACGTGCTCGACCACACGATTTAAGCACATGTATTTTACATTCTGTATAACCGTGAATTCGTATTAATAACCGAACAAGGTTTTTAAACACGTTCACTCTGTGCAGTAACTAAATTGTCCGCTTGTCAAATTTGTGGCCAGGGTCAAAAAGAGGGAGGAATTTTGAGAGGGAGGAATTTCTGCTTGGTCAAAAAGAGGGAGGAATTTTTGAAGCGAGGGAGGGAGGAATTTTGATATGGTCAAAAAGAAGGAGGAATTTTTGGAAGTTCAAATGAAGTACTTAGGCACCTCGAACCCAGGTCCCCGAGGTCGCCACCAAGATTTTCTCATTTTATACACAGTTTGAAGGGCTGAGTCGAACTGAAGTACTCGAGGGCCTCGAACCCGGGTACCCGAGGTCGCCACCGAGATTTTCTCATCGAACGGGCGAGCGAAGCGTGCTTGCGTTTCTTATTCAAGACATGTTGAGGTTCGATGAAACGGAAGTACCAGTTACCTTTGGGTTGCCACGTGACCTTTGGGTCGCCACGTGACGTGATTTTCATGGTGCTTCCTATACAGTTTGACATGCTGAGTCGAACTGAAGTACTCGGGGACCTCGAACTGGTCCCAAAGGTCGCCCTCACGACATATGCCATATATGCACAGTTTGACATGCTAAGTCGAACTGAAGTGCTGGGGTTCTCGAACCCGCGCCCCCAAGTCACCACCCCGATATATATATTTTTATATGCATTAAAACACAGCCGTACTTTGCGATTGCTTTATTCGGCTAGTTGTTGTTGTTTGTTGTTGATGTGCTTTACCAAACCACTGCTGGAGAACGTAGAAACCGGGAATAGTTTTAAATATTCCTAAATGTTCTAAAAATTTCTTAATATTTCTAAATATTTTAGCTAATATTTCTCATTATATTTCCAAATATTTTCTAGATATATTTCTAAATATTCTAGATATTTTTCGACATATTCTGGCTTAAATTTCAACTTATTTTTTGATAGTTGAAAATATATCGCAAATATGTCTTAATACCTTTCTGAATATATATATTTGTAATTATTCTAAAATTAATTTTTCTGATATTGTTGTACATATCTCTACGATTTATGGATATTTCTAAATATCTCTTAATACTTCAAAATATTTTTTAAAATTTCTAGATATTTTTCAGTATTTTGTTCAATATTTCTCATTATTTCTATGAATATCTTTTATTATATTCCAACATTTTTCTAAATACATTTTAAATTTTACATATATTTCTATATATTTCTGAATATACATCGTGGTATGTGTTGCGTGCTATTTCTAAGGTGAAATACGCGGATGTAAAGTAGCTTTAATGATAGAAATAAGCCAGATGTTATTAGGTAGTTGAGCCTGATGTAAAGCTAAAGTGAGATACAGTAGCAAGCCGGTTTTATACCGAGCTGCTGGTAAGATTCTATATAAATAGAACATTGTAGGTGGAACTAAAGTAAGTATAACAGAAGTACATAAAAGGATACAGTACATGTAAGGAGATGTTATATATAGATATAGTACAGTAGAGTACTTATGTAATGTACACGTAACACATGTTTTTCCTTAGGTTCAGATATATAGGTACCCGGGTTCGAGGCCTTCGAGTACTTCAATTCGACTCAGTCCTTCAAACTGTGTATAAAATGAGAAAATCTTGGTGGCGACCTCGGGGACCTGGGTTCGAGGTACCTAAGTACTTCATTTGAACTTCCAAAAATTCCTCCCTCTTCTTGACCATATCAAAATTCCTCCCTCCCTCGCTTCAAAAATTTCTCCCTCTTTTTGACCAAGCAGGAATTCCTCCCTCTCAAAATTCCTCCCTCTTTTTGACCCTGGCCAAATTTGTAGTACGATTGCAGCCATGCACAAATTACGCTTTGTGCCAAGGTGGTTGCTAGATGCTAATGATCAAGTAGTAAATGGTGATCATCATATACAGCGCAAGTAGTCCCTTGTATGCACTAATCACAACGATCGGCAGGCAGGAATCCACTGAGCACTCGGCGCAGTTTTCATCAGTGGAAGTCGGTGCCGGTGAAAGATGGCTATCCAGTGTTTTACTCATCTCCACATCTGCATTATCCGCAATTTCGTTGTAATCTTCACCGAATTTAGCCAGGCATGTCCAGAACACACCGGCGAGAATGCACTGGGAAAGGAAAACCAAGCCGCTCAATCCGTAGAAACCCAGAATAACAGAGCGCAACGACGCCGCTTTTGCGAAGGCGTTCCGGAATCCGTTTAATTTCTTTTCGTAATGATCCTGCGTGGCTTGGGTTCGGCTATATTCTTCCGGGGTCAGTGGCGCCCGTGTTCCGTTTTCCTTGAAGTCATTCCGGATTCGCGACATCATGGCAATGATGTCCATAGGGGTTTCCGCATGCGAAGAGGAAGGTCCGCAGCATTAGCAGCAGACCAACGATGGCTAACAGTATCAGTAGACCGCGTATCATCAGCAGATCCGTACAACCCAAATGTCGGAGGCATTTCCAGCTGCGAAAAGGTAATTTTAATTGGAAATGAACCGCGAGGACGAGCAGAGCGCCAGACAGGGCCGCAGAGATGGGTGTACCGGGATGTACCAGAGTGGACGGACCATTACCTGCAATGTAAAATAGATGTATTGCATATGCACAAATTTGTTGCACTAAATAAATATAGATGAATTTTTTTTAAAAAGTGCTCCCGTGCTTGGTAGTTGGTACACAAATACTCGTCTCGCAACTCGCGGTAACAGTAGTAAAGGGCGTCCCGCAAAGCGATTTTGTATTCCAGTTCCCCACTGGACTTCCGGACTGCAGTTTGTGACGTCACGATAAGTAAATAAATTCCGCAAAAAAATTAAAACTAAAAATATACTTTGTATTAATAATTTACAAAAATATTACCATAGTTACTGATTAAATCGTTATTTGTTGACTGTATTTAAATATTTACTCCTAGTTTTCTATAGTGTATAAGGAATCCCTTGACCATTTACTGTACTGTATTATTATTTGATTTATGTACGGGGATGGTATAAAGAAGGTGAAAGCATTTAATAACTAAAGCAGTTTAGACGAATAAAACGATTACGTTATTCAGAATTGTTATATAGTTTTTAAGCACAACTGCAAAATGACAACCAGTAAGTAATAGCTTGTTAGTCATCGTCCGAGGTGCTCATTTCCGAATCGCTTTCTCCCACGTCATCCACGCGCGGGTCATCACGGACTTCCGGATGGTCACCTGACAAAATGAAATAAAACCACAATATTTTAGGAAAATGAATACAAATAGATAAGCTGATCATACCATGCAGCGCGTTCTTAGCCAGGTTTATGGCAATATCCAGTTTGTTCAAAGCAGCGGTGACATCACGTCCGTTCTCAGACTGGGTCAGGTATCGGTCAGCGATGAGAGTGCTAACAGTGGAAATTTCTTGGACAATGGGAAGAAACGCTTCCTGGGCTACAAGAAACTGTGAAATAAAACTTAATACAAGCTAAAATACCTACACTTACCAATGGTCATCTTCTCAATGTTTAGCTTTGATTTGAGATGTTCAAAGCCGTTTATCAGGGAGAGGCAGTGTTCCTTAATTCTGTCGTTATACATTGATACAGTGTTTGACAGCTCAGTCAGTTGTTTCCACAAGGATTTGTACGCCTTGGTTCTGGCCTTAAGCTCACTTTCCGACAGCTGAGCGGTAGGCACAAGTTCACTGGTCGTTCCAATGTGAGTTCGTGAATTTTCTCTAGCAGTTTCGTTTCGTCTTGTTTCTTTTTGTTGTCAGCAATGATGCGTGTAATTTTCTGCGAGTTATGTGGTGGGTAATTTGATATTTCATCGATCTAGTAGCCCTCATCAGGCGATGGCATACTGTCTGGCGGACAGGAAGCCAAAAGAGTTGCAGTGCTTTCCATGTGATACTTTTCCATTGCTTGTGCAACGTCCAACAGCTTCTTCAGTATTACAATAATAGCAGTGAACATTGCTTTCTGATGGTGGTGAATGTACGCGAGGTCGAGAGCGCTCTTCTGGAACTTGCGCACCAGTTTACCCTGTAAGTAAATGCAATTGATAATTAGGTTACTGCATAAAAACGTTTCTTACCGTCTTAGTGCGCCACTCGTCGGACTGGATGTTCAAGTATTTAGTGGTGTCCACCGCCAGCCTGTTTCTATACTTGATGTTGTAGACATTGCTATGGCTGGCAAAATCCACAAAATATTGTGGCAGTTTCGTAGCGGGTTTTTTGGAATCCCTAAAAAAGAAGCAGACGTTAATACATACTGCCATTTCTTTTCAACTTTTACTTAGGACTTAAAACTGACAACTACAACAGTGGGTGAAACTTACAGAATTATTATGATTAAATAACGAATACATAATCGCTGCGCTTGCCAACTGCTTACGTTATTGTACATGTTCATTTAAACAGAATTACTCATAATTGTGCAACACTTCGTTTTGTTTTTTTAGGGTATCATTTGGAGCATTTATCGTTTACGTGCGTTTGTTGTTTAGCACGTAAACGACAATTCTCAAAAAATTCAACCCTTGTTTTTCGGATAATTAACGGGGCAGAGAGTAGTCTGAAGTTAAAATTTGCGGTCAAATTTTTCGTTTAATTCAAAGGTTATTTTGGGAACATCTATCCTTTGCACGCATTTGTTGTCAGCGCGCAAACGACAGCTGCTCCATAAAATACAGTCCTGTTCTTCCGGCTAATTAGGGTATCTGAAATCGGCCAGTAGAAAGTAATAACAAGTAAAAGTTAGCCGTCACAGCTTTATCTACTCGGTTGCCTAGAAAATAAATGTCTTTCTACGACAAACGGAGAAGAATCAGCAGTGAAGGTAATCACACAGCAAACATCGCACTGACATTTATGACTTGACTTGGTTAATTTCACATGTGTTTATATAAGCGCTCTCACACGCAAAATAGTTTACCGAGAAAGATAATGTTGTGAAACAAATTGCTGTGCAGCAAAATGCATGCACAGTATTTTGTTAATATAAACAGTTATAATCAAATGCGTTCACGCAGTTCAAAAAAATACGTGCAAGCATTGTAACCAAACTCCTGGATTTATTGTAATGCTCAATCATGAACAGCCGGACGCTTCCAACGACTCCGGTAAGTGAGACAGATGTGAATTAAGTAACACTGCAAGTCACCCGCACCTTAAATTATAGGATACGCTACGGATTCGGACAGTTCCTTCAGCTTCTATGAAACAGAAGAAGAAATTGGTAACTTTGTAAAAATCCTGGAAAAAAACAATATTCCATATATGTATCATTTTCAGACGATTGCGATTGTACCGCGGAGCAACGCGGTGTCAATGGAGAGTGTCGAATCACCAGCTAAGGAAAATGGAAAAGAAATCCAAAAAGCAACTCGAGCAAAATCTATTTCAGAAGTTGGCAAAGTTCCTGATAAACTTCCTCAATGTGTTCGAATTTTTTTAAACCAAGTATATTACATTTTCCACTATTAAAGACTATGCATGTGGCTTTTTCATCTTTATTGTCATGCCGGGAAAAATCTCTGGCTCGTAATATTTGTCACCAGTCGAATGTCCAATATTTTCAAGGTTTTGTCGTCGCAGCTGACATGAAGCAATAATATTAACGACCTTATAATTTGTTATTCGTGCTCCTTTGTAAACCCGTAGCAATAAGCTTTCGCAAAAGTATTTTGCACAGTTTCGTGACTCGCGTAGTGTGCGTCTACCATTAACAGTAATTTTTCCGTTGCGATATAATTGGCAGTGGAATTTTTTCGGATATAATACGCGCCACAAAAGACAAGAGAATTTTTTAGGATCGTATTCTGTGATAAGGTCTCTGTTCAAATTAAGCTGCTGCAAGTCGATTTGCACATTCAAGTGCGCAGTTGCGACGATATTAGTTATTTGCGCCATGTGTCCAGAAGTTGGTTATGATCTCAGGTTCCAATGGCCTTTCGGAGCAATAATATGTGGGCCAACAATAAGTGGTAAAACACAATATGTTCTTAAAATGCTGAAAGGAAATGCAATGGACGTCGTCCCAACCAGAATAGTGGTAGCATACAGTCAATGGCAAAACTCGTACGAAGAAATTAAAAAGATTTTTCCACAAACAGAATTTGTTAAAGGATTAAAGGACGATTTACTAGATTCGGAGTTTTTTTCTAAAGCAGAAAATAATCTGCTGATTATAGATGATCTAGCGGGCGAAATGGCAAGCAGTGAGTTAGCCACAAAGCTATTTACGCAAGGAATACATCACAGAAATTTGTCAGCAATTTATATCACACAGAATTTATTCAAGCAAGGTAAAGCAAGTCGGGATATTGCCTTAAATACTCAATATATTGTGTTGTTTAAAAATGTTCGCGACAACAACCAACTGGATTATTTATCACGACAAACAGGATTTAAGCATCTAAAAAAAGCGTATAAAAGGATTACTGCTACTCCATTTGAACCTTTGATTTTGGATTTAAAACCAAATTGTCCCGATTATTTGCGTGTCAGATCTCATGTTGTGCAAGAAAAGAAAACGGACTTACAAACAGCAAGAATTTACACCGACCCGAATTTCTGTGCAGTGCCGTCAGCATGACCAAACATTTGAAAGAATTTGCTTCTTTTTTACTGTTTCTCTCGTCGCTCAACCCCAAAGATCGCAGAGCTGTCGCGAATCATTGTAACAAAAAGCATATTAAAGGACTGGAAGAGTGCTGCTTGAATATCGTAAAAAATACCCTAAATTTATCACCAGAAAGTACGCGAATTTGCAGACGCTGGAAAAAGCCGATACGATTATTAGCTCTTCGACGGTATCCCACAAAAGCTAAAAAAAGCGCTATTAACACAAAAAGGTGGTTTTCTGGGTGCAGTGCTGCCAGTTTTAGCAAGCGTTCTGGCCGGAGCGCTAAATTCCTAATTTAAGGTCATGGAAGTACATTATATTGTACCTGAGCGGGATATCAAGAAGCGAGCCGCCGAGCTGACAGTTTTACAGGCTCCACCTGAAGCGAACAACATTTTATCGCTTGGCGATTTGACATCGAAAATCCTTTCAAGTCAAAATTTAAGTGAATGGCAGAAAGCACAATTACTTAGTAAAAATTTAGAACGGTTCATGGCATTAAAGCCCAGAGCACTTCAAGAAGGTAATCCCTTGGATAGTCTGTCTGTAAGTGTAAACGACGCCACAACTCCGACTCCATCAATCTTAACCACACCGTTAACCGAACCCAAGAAAACAAAAAAGAAAAGAGTTCGCGCCACAACAGCATCGTCAAAATCACGCAGAAAAATCAAGAAAAAAACCCTGACAGATATTGATTCGGATGATTCGGATGAATATGATCTCCCAGTGTTTTCATTACCGTCAAATGAAAAAGGGAAACGTGGTAAACGCGTACTGGAACAAACGCTAAACGAAACAAAAATATCGCCCGATAATAAATTCCAAGCTGTAAGCGCGGAAGAAGAGGTACCACGCCGGCGTGGCGAGCGGGTACGAGAGCAGACAAAGTTTTTTATAAAAGGGCAAGGTATTAAAGGCCGCTGGCTAAAGGATCTTTAAAATGCCGGGTTGTGTGCCGGTAAATCTAAATTTTGGACAAGGGATGAAATTGAATTGTGTTTCTTCTTGCTGTTCTGATGACAGTGACGAAAATAAAATAGAAGATTCGTCTAAAGCTGGTGATAAAGCCAACGAGGTACCTAAAATTACTCAGCCTGTTTCCGATGGACCAGCACTATCTCAATCCTAGTGCACTGAGCAGCCTAGGGGGCTCGAGCGGTTTCACAAGAACCTTCCAGAAAATGTTTCCAAGGAAAAAGCCAAAATATTCTTGAAGGGATCGATGCCTACACTTTACATAAGCCTGTCAACCGAAAATTCCGCAGGAATCCGGTGGTCGTCCTAAATAAAAATAGCCAGCTCCAGGTAGATTTGATGGATATGCAAAAGTTCAAAAAGTGGAACAAAAATTATGGCTACGTGTTAGTTGCTATTGATTGTTTTTCTAAAAAATAGAATGCGAGCTAATTAAGTGTAAAGATGGTTTATCAACGGCAAAAGCACTGGAAAAAATACTAGAACGCCTGGGTCCATTTGACAAAATACAGGCTGATAAAGGCCGTGAATTTTTCAATAAAAATGTGAGGGATTTACTCAAACGGAAAGAAATTATGCTATTCAGTTCGAAAAACGATGACATAAAATGTTCGATGGCGGAGCGCGTTATTCAAACGCTGCGTGAGCGCATATGGCGCTTATTTACTAGTCGAAAATCTCCAAAATATTACGATCGGCTACAAAATATTGTAAAGACATATAATCACACTCCTCACACTTCACATGGCTTTTGTCCTGCGGATGTAACTGAAGAAAATTCCCTGCTTGTGTTTAATCGATTATACGAGAAAACAGACCATAAAAAAAAGAAACCAGTATTTAAGGTGAAAGATGTCGTCAGAATTGCAAAGAAAAAGCAGGACTTTGAAAAGGGTTTTGAAACAAACTTTCAGGAGGAGCTTTTTCGAATAGCAAAGGTAATACCACATACACCGGAGCCAGTGTATCAGCTCGAGGATGAAAAAGAGGAACCAATAGTAGGAAAATTTTATGCAAGGGAGCTGACGCGGATTAGAAAATGAATAGCTTGCAATATCAACAGCCATTTTACATCACATTGCCGAGTGATGCTTGCACAGATATTTACTCGAATAACACTGCATCCAGTTGGAAAACCAAATTATGCAAAACAATTTCATTGTCTGGAAAATGGGAAGTTGCAATTGTCGAACTCTATTACCCAAATTCCATGTACAATCTCCCTACAGACCAGACCATGGATTGTTTGCAGGTTTACGATATTGTATCAAATTCGGATGCTAAAACAGGGTTGGAAAAGTTCCTATTTGAGAAAAAGCGCATTACTTTACACGCCGGTAATTATACCAACGAACAAATCATTGCAACAATTTCTTCGCAAATTCCGAAGCTCCTCTTGGCAAAGGACAAGAATCCAAAAGAGGAGAGCCTTTTCTATTGAATTACTAGCTAACAATCAAAAAGTGCAAATTGCAATTAATGCCAATACCGTTATTCTGGCTATTAACAATGAACTGCTGAAACGCATATTGGGGTGTCAGCATCGACAACTGTTTGCGTATTCTGATCCTGCAAATATTGTTGACCTTGCGCAAAATTTTGACGGTTTAAATCAGCTGGAGGAATTTTTCAAGGAAAA